TGGACTGGGTGCCTTCTAGACCTGCTGTGTATCTGTCGTCCTGGGATTCTTGTTTATTGTCTGTAGACTTCCTTCATTCCTCTTTTTTTATTGGGTCTTCCATTTCCTGCATCCTATGTATTCCTCTTTGGTTCCCTCCCTCTTTGGTGAAGCTCATCCTTCCTCACTTTCCTGTGAGAGGGTTTGTGGGAAGTAAGGTTTTTGAGACTTGGCTTGTCCAAAAACTTCTGTATTCTATCCTCACACTTAAGGCTGGATTCTAGTTTGGAAATCACTTCAGAATTTTGACATTATCACTCCATTTTCTTTTTAAGTCTAGTACTATTTTAAAGGCTTTGATATTTTAAACTCTAGTACTATTCGTATTCTTTAAAAGAACCTTTTTGTTATAACATAGACACACAAAACAGTATAAAATGTATATGTATAGTTTAAAGAAGAATAATAAAACAAATGCTCATAGACTCACTACTCAGCTTAGGAAATGGAACATTACCATTACTTGGAATTCCTTATGTGTTCCTTGATTGCATTTGTTTTCCTCCTTCCAGAAGTTTCCACTGTCTTGAATTTTGTATCAGTTACTCTCTTGCTTTTCTTTATAGTTTTACCACCTACTACATGTCCTTAAAATATAAATTCTTAGTTTTGCCTGTTTTTGAACTTTATACAATGGAGTCATAATGTGTTTATTCTTTGTGACTTGTCTTTTTGCTCAGCATTGTTTTTGAGATTCATCCATTTTGCATGTAGCTGTAAGTTCATTCATTTTCACTGCTATACAGATTCCATTGTGTAAATATATCACTACTTACCCATTCTTCTGCTGATAGGCTTTGGCGTTGTTTCCAGCTTCCTTCTATTGTAAGTAGTGCTACCTGGAACACTCCAGTAACTGTACTCTGGTGCATATGCTTATTTTTCTCTAGGGTGTGTATACCTGGGAATGGAATTGCTGGCCATCAGCCATCAGGTGTGTCTAGCTCTATGGGTAATGTCAGATTCTTTTCCAAACTAATAGTGCCAGTTTACATTCTCATGTCTTGTGTATTAACCAATTTTTACATCTTTGACAATCTGGTTGGATTGAACTAGTCTCTCACTATAGTTTTAATTTGCATTCCCCTGATCACTGCTGAATGTGAGCTTTTTTCATTTTTCATTGGCTATTCATGTTTCCTCTTTTATGACCTAGTAATTTGTAGGAATTCTTTATATATTCTGGGTACTAACCATTTGTCAGTTACATGTATTGCTGGTCTCTTAGTTTGTGGGGTTTTTTCCACAATACAAGTTCTTAAATTTAATGTCAAATTTATCTTATATTTTCTTTATTGACTGGTGCTTTTTGTCTCATATTTAAGAAATTCTTCCTTTTGCCAAGGGTTTAAAAGCTATTGCTGATAATACTGAATTTCAATTTTTTTTTTTTTTAATAAATTTATTTATTTATTTATTTTTGGCTGCATTGGGTCTTCGTTGCTGTGTGTGGGCTTTCTCTAGTTGCAGCGAGCGGGGGCCACTCCCTGTTGCGGTGCACAGGCTTCTCATTATGGTGGCCTCTCTCACCGTGGAGCATGGGCTCTAGGCACGCGGGCTTCAGCAGTTATGGCTCACAGGCTCTAGAGCGCAGTCTCAGTAGCTGTGGCGCACGGGCTTAGCTGCTCCGCGGCATGTGGGATCTTCCCAGAACAGGGATTGAACCTGTGTCCCCTGCATTGGCAGGCGGATTCCCAACCACTGTGCCACCAGGGAAGCCCTCAATTGTTTTTTATTTACTGATTTGGAATCCTGTAATCTTTCTCAGTTCTCTTAATTCTAATAATTATTTGTAGGTGTTTTGGGTTTTCTTCACACTCGTCTCATATGTGATTAATAATAATTTTCTTTCTTTCTATCTAGATCTTATTTCATTTTTTCTTGCTGTAATGTGTTGGATAGAATCTCCAATATAATGTTCACTTCATCTGATTTTGGGTGAATTTATTTGCTAAAGATTGTTTTTAATATCCTTTAATCTCTTTTGTTTATTTACTTATTCGGTTGCATTGGGTCTTTGTTGCTGCACGTGGGCTTTCTCCAGTTGCGACAAGTCGGGGCTACTCTTCATTGCGGTGCGTGGGCTTCTCATTGCGGTGGCTTCTCTTGTTGTGGAGCACGGGCTCTAGGCGCGTGGGCTTCAGTAGTTGTGGCACATGGGCTTAGTTGCTCTGTGGCATGTGGGATCTTCCCGAACCAGGGATCAAACCCATGTCCCTGCATTGGCAGGCAGATTCTTAACCACTGCGTCACCAGGGAAGTACCCTCCTGGTGGACTCTTTAATCTCTGCAGCATATATACTGATATCACCACCTCATCACCCGCCCTTCATTCCCAGTTTTTGGCTACTTGTACTTCTTTTTCTTCCTTTACCATTTTTTTCCGTTTCTTTTTTGGACTGGTCTTACCAGAGGTTCTTCAAGTTTTTAATCTTTTGAAATAACTAAATTTTATCTTCATTGATTTCTGTTTTATATTTGTTTCCTAATTCATTGATTATTGTTCTTTATTATTTTTATTCATCTACTCATTTGGAGTTTATTTTGCAGCCCTGTTTCTAATTTTTTAGGTGGATGCCTGTCTCATCTTTTGTCTTTTTTTAATGCATTTCTCTCCAAATATTGCTCTTGCCATCCCATGAGTTTTGATATATAGTTTTAAAAAAATTACTCAATTCTAGATTTTTTTTTTAATGCAGACCAAGCGCAGACCTCAGGCCCAGCAGAAATCTGCATTCTTTTTGTTTGTTTGGTTTTGTTTTTTGGCCTTGCCATGCAGTTTGTGGAATCTCAGTTCCCTGACCAGGGATTGAACCTGGGCCATGGCAGTGAAAGCCCAGAATCTTTACCACTAGGACACCAGGGAACTCCCTAGATATTTTCTAATTCCCTTTTGCTTTAGTCTTTTACCTGTGAGTTTAAAATTTCTTAGGGTTCAAAAATCTTTTTTCTTTAGTTACATTTTTTTTTTTTTTTTGCGGTATGTGGGCCTCTCACTGCTGTGGCCTCTCCTGCTGCGGAGCACAGACTCCGGATGCGCAAGCCCAGCGGCCATGGCTCACGGGCCCAGCCGCTCTGCGGCATGTGGGATCCTCCTGGACCGGGGCATGAACCCGCGTCCCCTGCATCAGCAGGTGGACTCTCAACCACTGTGCCACCAGGGAAGCCCTTGAGTTACATTTTTGTTATTGAAATTTCTAACTTGATTGTACTGTGGTCAGAGAATATTGCCCTTTTGGTACCAGTCCTGTATCAAAATATCAAAATATAGTCCTGTATTAGTTCATTTTCTACTGCATAACAAATTATCCCCAAACTTAATGGCTTAAAGAGTTATCTCACTTTTTTTTAATTAATTAATTTATTTTATTTCTGGCTGCTTTGTGTCTTTGTTGCTATGCGTGGGCTTTCTCTAGTTGCGGCGAGCAGGGGCTACTCTTCATTGCGGTGCATGGGCTTCTTATTGTGGTGGCTTGTCTTGTTGAGCACGGGCTCTAGGCATGCAGGCTTCAGTAGTTGTGGCATGCAGGCTCAATAGTTGTGACTCTTGGGCTCTAGAGCGCAGGCTCAGTAGTTGTGGCACAGCGGGCTTAGTTGCTTCATGGCATGTGGGATCTTCCCGGACCAGGGCTCGAACCTGTGCCCCTTGCATTGGCAGGCAGATTCTTAACCACTGTGCCACCAGGGAAGTCCGTGTCTCACAGTTTTTGTGGGTCAGAAATCTGGACTCAGCTTAGCTTGAGTTCCCTGCCTCTGGGTCTCTTATAGGCTGTGATCAAGGTGTCAGCTGGTAGGGGAGTCATCTTAAGGCTCAACTCAGGTGAATCCACTTCTAGGTGTTGGCCTCTTTTTCTTCTTTAATATTTATGTATGTATGGCTGCGTCAGGTCTTAGTTGCGGCATGTGGGATCTTCGTTGTGGCACGTGGGCTTCTCTCTAGTTGTGGCCCGTGTGCTCAGTAGTTGCAGTGCATGGGCTTAGTTGCCCCTCAGCATGTGGGATCTTAGTTCCCTGACCAGGAACCCATGTCCCCTGCATTGGAAGGTGGATTCTTAACCACTGGACCACCAGGGAAGTCCATGTTTGGCCTCTTAATATTGCTTACTGACTTGGCAAGGTCATCAGTGCATTTAAACAGATTTACATATATTTACCCCATCATTTTTAGTTATTTTCAACAGAAGGGTCAGGGTACTTAATCGGCCAAACTGTTATAGAGAAAAAAATGTGTCTGCTTAAGCTACTAAGGACCTGAACTAAAAATGAAGAAATGATTTTGTGAGAGGAAAATATTTTTTAGCCCAGGAAGCTGTATGAATTAGAGTCCAGTGAGGAGACCAAAAGCAATGTTATATATTTCAACAGAGGGAATTTAATAGAGGGAATTGGTTACACAGGTGTGGGAGGGCTGGGAGGCACCAGGGTAGCCTAGTGATAGTAATTGCAGAAAGCAGTCCCCTTTCCTAGGGCTGGGGACACAAAGGGAGAAGACTGGGGTTTCCAGAACCTAGATGTGTGGAGGAGAGTTCCTGTGAGGCTAGTGCTCAGATGTCTGAGAGGAATTTCTGCTTGAGTGCTGCTGCTAGCTCTGAAGGGCCCAAGGAGAGCCCTTATGTGGGAAGGAACAAGCTTTCTCCTACCTTCCAGTCACCCTCTAGTTCCCCTGTTGTCCAGTCCTAACAGCTGGAAAGAGGAGAATGTAGTTTGCAGAGCCCTAGCCCCAGCATGTCTAAGCAGAGTATAGAAGAGTGGATGTGATGGGGAGAGACCATCGCTTAATTTAAGAGGTTGACCCAGTGCCCCTGGAGCCTCAGGAGGCCTGCCCAACTCAGCCAGTGTAAGTCACAGAGGTTATAGGGTCATGACTTACACTGCTGCTGCCAACCATGACTTCAGAACTTCGCAAAGCACTTATTTATAAAACTGGTATGAAATAACAACTGTTTCTCCCTTTTTCTTAGAATATGAAATATTACCAAGGTATCCGGGCTGCTGTGAGCAGGGTGAAGGACAAAGGACAGACGGCCTTGGTTCTTGACATTGGCACTGGCACAGGACTCTTGTCAATGATGGCTGTCACGGCTGGTGCTGACTTCTGCTATGCCATTGAGGTGAGGCACACTCTTCACATGTGTGTCCTGTGTCCTACGTGGGAAGTCCTTTGTGTCCCTTGCACTCTGCCCATCTGTTTGTTCACAGACAGACATCCATGCCAAGCACAGGGTCAGGTTTGGAGAACACAGAGATGAATCAGACACAGTTCCTTTCTCCAGGAGCTCATTTTCTTCCCTGAAAATAGTGGTTCTCAGCCTTGGCTGCATGTCAGAATCACTGAGGAAATTTAAAAAAGCTAATGTCTAGTCAGTCGTTGTCATGTCCTCCCCCCACCTACCCATTTTTTTTTTTTAAATCAGGGGTGATATTATTATTTATTTATTTATTTATTTATTTATTTATTTATTTTATTTATTTATTTATGGCTGTGTTGGGTCTTTGTTTCTGTGCGAGGGCTTTCTCTAGTTGTGGCAAGCGGGGGCCACTCTTCATCGCGGTGCGCGGGCCTCTCACTATCGCGGCCTCTCTTGTTGCGGAGCACAGGCTCCAGACGCTCAGGCTCAGTAATTGTGGCTCACGGGCCCAGTTGCTCCGCGGCATGTGGGATCTTCCCAGACCAGGGTGCGAACCCGCGTCCCCTGCATTGGCAGGCAGACTCCCAACCACTGCACCACCAGGGAAGCCCCCCATTTTAATTATTATTCTGGGATATGGCCTGGGCATTGGGATTTTTGAATGTGCACCAAAGTTGAGATTACCTTAAAGGTCCCCACAGAGCCAGCCATCTTACTACATTTACCAATAGTTCCGCAGTCTGCCATTTCTTTCCTTTAATAAAACATTAAACATATATTATTTTTCTGATAATGTAAATAATACATATCCTTATACGAGATTTGGTAAATATAAAATAAAAATAGTGTGTTAACTCAAAGTTAACCATTGTTAAAATTTTGGTGTATTTTCTTCCAAGCTTTTGGGAAAGGGGTCATGTATTTAAGCACTTTGCCCTACAAAATTTGGTTCATATGGTGATTAAGTTGCAGATAACAAAGTCCCCAAATAACAGTGGCTTAAACAGATAGAAGTTTTTTGCTTTCTCACATGAAGTGTAGAGGTCAGCATTCTGGGTGTTCTACCCAGACTCCTTCCAGCTCCCCCGCCACTGCTTGTTTACAGGGTGGCCCTCATGCTTATGGTCTAGAAAGGTAGGCATTTTAGGCTGAGGGAGTACCGTGGTGTGTTTGGGGAAGTGTCATCCAGAGTTGTGGCAGAGGGTTGTCATGGTAGAAAAACACAGAAAGGTGGATTATAGCTAGACTCCGGAAGACCTGAGTGTCTCAATAAAGACTTTTAACTCTAATATCTTGAGTTAGGTGTTCTTAACTTGAGGTAAGAATAATGGGCTTCAGGTCTCCATAAAAGTCCTGAGAGGGGTGTGTGCACGGGTGCGTGCAATTCTGTACGCTTGCCTCAGGATTTCATTAAATTGATTAAGAGCCGTTTCTTTGCCTTTGTGGGAGTCTTTGAGCTGATAAAAAGAAATCAGTGTAGACTCAAATAGATTTTTCTTTTTTTTAAATTTTCTTCCAGAAACATTTTAATAAAAATTGGCTATTTCCAAGAAACGCCCACTGCATGCCCACCAATAAAAGGGAACCATAACAAAATAGAAAATTTACCATATGGCTGTGATTTAAATAAAAAAACCTAGTGCACACTCAAGCACACCAGCAAAGTCAAATATTAAAGTTACATTCTTTGTTATGGGCTATGACTAGGATTCTGAAGAGACACTGAAATAAAACTTAATACAAATGCTGAACTATTCAGGTCAAAGAACCTCTACAGAAGCATCTGACCTCAAAGGCATTCCAGTTTGAGACTCAATTTCAGAGTGAGGCATAACAAATGAACACAAGACATACAGCGTGAAAGGAGGGATTCTGTAATTCCCAACATACTCTGAACCTGATAGAACAAATCTACGGTTTTTTTTTTTTTTTTTTTGCGGTACGCGGGCCTCTCACTGTTGTGGCCTCTCCCGTTGTGGAGCACAGGCTCCGGAAGCGCAGGCTCAGCGGCCATGGCTCACGGGCCCAGCCGCTCCGCGGCATGTGGGATCTTCCCGGACCGGGGCACGAACCCGTGTTCCCTGCATCGGCAGGCAGACTCTCAACCACTGCGCCACCAGGGAAGCCCTGGAGAGGAACATTTATTCGCTGTTCTTGAACCCTTTGATCCCTCTGAGGCCTCTGCAGTGGAATTGAATTTGAGATTGAGGCTTAGACTCTGGACGAGGCTGTGAAGCTGGTACTTTAACAGCATGAGGTGGTATCCCAGTAACTGGAATAGCTCCACTGGGTGGAAGGTTCTTGCTGGTCACAGGTGTCCAAGAAAAGGTTCTCAAGTCCTTCTGCACTGTCTGGGCTATGTCTGCAGGCGCTGGAGAAGAACTCTTCTGAGCATCCTCAGGAGCAGTTTCTTCCAGTACTGGCTCAGACTTTTCCTCTTGGACTTCAGACACAGGTTCTTGCTCCGGTTCTGGTTCAGGATCAGGCTCTGGTTCAGCAACAGGTTCTTCTAAATGTTCTTCTAAGTCATTGCTGACAGTTTGATCATAGAAAGTTCCAGAATCATCAGGTACCACCTCAGGTGTCTGCTGTCTTTCTTCAGGTTCCTCTACTTCTTCAGATTCTTCCTCAGGCTCAGGGACAAAGCCACCAAAGACCTCATCTTGGTATCTGAAGATATCATTGTGAACATAGAACTTATTTTCAGTAGAGCTCTCAGGAGCAAGGACAAAGGTCTGCATGAATCTCCTTAAAGCCTGGGTGTTATTAGAGAGCAAGCCCATCACCTGGACCACCACACGGTCATTCAGAGTGGCATGAGCATCAACATGATGGATCTTAGAGTGGCAATTAGTGAAGTTTTGTGACATCACTTTCCTATGGATTTCTTTCTGTCCCTAGACTGCATCTGCTGGCTTTCCATTTGAATCCAATCCCGCATGGACATAAGAAGAGTTCTTTCCATAAAATCTGTGTAACATGTCTGGGGCCTGGTTCAGCAGTGTGTAATACTGTCTCACAAATTCCCGCCTGACCAGCAGGGGACTAGGCTTCTCCATAACCATTGCTTTGGTCGATTCAGCCTGCACGGCTGAGCGGGAGAGGAGCAAGCTCTGCTCCACAGCACGGCAAAAAACAAAAAACTCAACTAGATTTTATTATCTTTGTAAATGAAGAAACTAAGACCCATAGAGTTTAAAGATGTAAGTCCCACAGTTAATAAGTAGGAGAGCTAGACCTGGAGCTTGGTCTTTTTAGTTCCTAATATGGTGCTGACTCCACATTGGTAGCTTTGATGCCAGGGTGTGCATGTATGTGAGAGTTAGTTTTCTAGTGTGGGTGTCTGGGGTGGAGGCAGGGATGCCATTGACTGGTAAGAGGAACTCAGAGGAAGATAACTTACTTTGCAGGAAAGACAATGCATTTCATTTTGGACGTGTTGAGTATGAGAGAGACAGGTCTTGTGGCAGGAGCCAGTATATACGTGGACTGCTAATTAAAAATATAGGGTGAGAACATACTTTTCGATAGAATTGGTAGGACTGTACTCTTAGGTTTTTCCATATTTTTACATCACTTACCTGGATTTCTAATTCTCTTGCTACTCTCACCTGTGACTCTCAGACCTCTTCCATTTGATTCTTGACATCTTATGGTGGCCTCCCAGTTTTTGTTTTAGTGACTACCTGTTTGATCCTCTGTTCTTGTCTGTGGATTGCCCTGTGGTTTCAGCTCTGCCTGAGCTGCATGGCAACAGGAAAGACAGGTGCAGAAGAAAGAGTGAGAGAGAACCTGCTGGTCCCTATAGACGGAAGTCTGAACCTTGAGAGAGTTGCATATATAGTGGATTTGGGACTCACTTGCTAAAGATGTGACAGGTGAAGCTGGCAGTGTAGGAGGCTGTCCACGGAGAGAGAGTACACTGAAAAGAGCAGACCTTGGAACACACCTATGTTCAGGGGGCTGAGGGAAGAAGAGTGGCCGTAAAGTCAAGTTCAGACAGACACGAAGAGACCCTAGAGGGTAGGGGCAGACTGCATAGAAATCGTGAGAAAGAGGGAGTGGTCAGTCGGTGTGGATGTTATAGAGCAGCACTGTCCGATAGAACTTTCTGATGTTGAAAATCTTCTATGGCTCTACTGGCCAGTATGCTGGTCCCTAGCCACATGTGGCTGCTGAGCACTTGAAATGTGACTAGTAGGCCTGAGGAACTGAATTTTGGAATTTTATTCAGTTTTCATTTACATTTAAATAGCTACATATGGCTACTGTATTAGCGCAGGTGTAGAAATTGAGCAGGATGAGGACTGAGAAAGCTGTGGGTTGGCAGCGAGGAGGTTATTGGTGACCCCCCTTTAGGTGATATTTTCAGGAGAGTAAGGTTGAGGAATGGATGGAATATAAGAAATCACAGACATTGACTGTAGGCTTCTCTTTTAGTACATTTGAAAAGGAAGGAATATTTAGGGAAGGTGCATTGGTTACAGTGATTTCTGTGGCAAATGCCTTGAAAACAAAGCATGGTCCTGGCTTCCTCTCTTTCTTTCTCCTTTTTAAGGGCAAAAAGAACTTTCTAGGCATCTCTAGCAGACTTCTCTTTAGGTATCATTGGCCAGAATAAGGTTAAATGCCATTTAACTTACCTCATTGACCTTAGACCAGACAGATGCACCACTTGAAAGAAGGTCAGTTCCCCAAACTGATTTGAGGGCCAGGAGAGGACACAGAATGATGTTGGGAAGTCAGCTTCAGTGTTCATTCCAGATAGTGTTTGGGGTGAGTTCTTGAGTTCTTGGTGGCTGAGGAGGAGGCTGTGAATGACAGAGCCTGAAGGGTCAGTGGAAGAGATGAATGATAAGTCAGGAGGCAGGAGGGCTGAGAGGATGGTGTGAGCTTGTGATACTTCTGGGGTGGAGGTAAACTGATAGGTGAGAACTGAGGGTTTGAGGCCCTCAAACTATGAATACATCAAAACCATCAAGCCAGAGACTAGAAATAATTTGAAACAGATTGTGAAGATTTTTTTTTCCTAGCTGAGCACATATGCATTCTTTATAGAAGAATATAGCATTTCCCTTTTGACTATAATAAAAGAAATACGTGATCACGGCAGAAAATATGGGTGATGCAGAAAAGGTCTTAGAAAAAAATGGAAATCTTGTCATCGTGACCAGGCACTTTATCATTTTCAAAAATTTCCTTTCTCTGTGTGTGGCCGCATGTGCATCTGTATGTTTTATGCAGTGACGTGGTTGGAGCTGTGCAATCTAAGTTGGGCAGGCTGGAAAGTAAGAGTTGGAGAAACTTATGTTTAGGGACATGTGAAGGGTTCAGGGAAAACTTCTGTTGGGGGGGATTTGTGCTGCCCTGGAAAGTTGGGTTTGCTTGCAGGTGGGAGTAGGGCAGGGAAAGCTCAGGCTTGCCTCCTGCACAATGAGGACATCCGCGTGGCTGTAGCGTTGGTTGTGTGTGTGTATGTGTGTATCGGGTGGAGGGTGTGGGAGGGGAGTAAGGCTGGGTAAAGTAAGGTGGTCCACATTTTGGAGGGCCTCAAATACCGTAAGAAAATATAGGCTGTGTTCTGCTAGCAGTAGGGATTTGAGACAGTTTTGAGCAGGAGAGTAACCTGCTGCTCACACTTAACATCTACTACAGTTACAGTCTCACTTTCCTCTAGAGAGCGCATACACTTCCTGTCCCAGTTCACAGATCATGGTTTTGTGAGGCAAGTCCCCTTCCTGGTTCCCTCTAGCATAGCACTGGCACCTGCCATCCTTACTAGGTAGTGCAGCCTCCTTGGGAGCCCCCTGCATCCCTCCTGTGCCTGGCATGTAATGGGAAGGCCCAGCTGCAAGTTAAACCCAGCGGAATTTCATCCTTTTGTATTCATTTCCAAGACACACATTTGGAGAAGTATTTAAGTTACATAGATGAAGTCTTGTTTATTTATCAACTGAACCCAAATCAGCCCAATGAAGTATTTTGCCTGCATCAAATGGTAACAAAGGTACATTTTGTGTATTCAGGAAGAAATTCTGTAGTGTAGGCCTCTTTTAGTACAAGTCATAGGACCAGAATCAAGGCATATCTTGGGTTTTAGGATGTTATTTAATTTATTGCTCATTTTTACTTGGGTTTTGTCTCTAATTTTTAGGTTTTCAAACCTATGGCTGATGCTGCTGTAAAGATTGTGGAGAAAAATGGCTTCAGTGATAAGATTAAGATTATCAACAAGCATTCCACTGAGGTGACCATAGGGCCAGGTAAGATCAACACATCCTGTGTCAAAAGCTTTACTTGCTCTTGTAGGAGAGAGGAAAAGGTTTATTCCAGTTTGTGGAATAGATGTACCCAGGTAATCACAGAGACTGGGGCCTCTCCATGTGCTGATCTGAAGATAAGCACTTTGCTTTTCTGTTAGTTTATTTCTCTACTAGTTAAAACAAATCAGGAATGAGTAAACCAGAGCTAATCAAGTATAAGAGTGGTGATGCAAACAAATGAAACCTTTTGCTTAAGCAAGTTGGAATTCAAAATTTATCTGAATTTTGAGTTTTATCAGATAGAAGTAAAACTAAGTTGATGGTAGAAAGAGGTTTGCTTAGTTCCGATATCCTGTCTCAGTATCCAGTGTGAGAGATTTGCCTGTGTAGCTCGGTCTCTCCAGGTTTTCAGAATATTTTTTATAGTTTAGGAATTTGAATCAGACTTCTAACGTTTCACATGCCACTGATACTGGAAGAGCACAGTGGACAAGAAGCTTCTAGGGGGACTTCCCTGGTGGTACAGTGGTTAAGAATCCACCTGCCAATGCAGCGGACACAGGTTCAAGCCCTGATCCAGGAAGATCCCACATGCCACGGAGCAACTAAACCCGTGCGCAACAACTACTGAGCCTGCGCTCTAGACCCCGCGAACCACAACTACTGAGCCCGTGAGCCACAGTTACTGAGCCTGTGTGCAACAACTACTGAAGCCTGTGCACCTAGAGCCCATGCTCCGCAACAAGTGAAGCCACTGCAATGAGAAGCCTGTGCACCGCAACGAAGAATAGCCCCCGCTTGCCACAACTAGAGAAAGCCCACAACTAGAGAAAGCCTGTGTGCTTTCTCCTATTGAGAAAGCTCCCCTAGCTCCCCCTATTGAGAACCCTTGTTCTAAGCAAGCTTTAGCCATACTAGTACAGTGTGACCTTTCTGGGGTCTCTGCTGAATGCCTGGGCACTGGCTAATCAGAACTAGAATGTTTCTTAGTCCTCTGAGCTCTGGCAGTTGTTCAGCTTATAGCTACATGGTCATCCTTTGCCCGGCCTTCTAGAGACTTAGCCTGTGTGTGTGTGAATATAGTCAGCAAGAGACATGAGGGGAACCCTCTGCAGATTTCTGAAGCCCTTTTTCTGTGTAACTTCCTGTCCGGCTCTCTCCCTGAAGTGTAGCCTCCTCCACTCCCTTGAACTCTTTGCTGTCTCCTTATTCAGCAAGACACTTTGCTTGGCTTCTCACTCTGTGTACCGAGTACCATGGTCTGGAAAGTGCCTGCTGGCTGGAAGCCAGGGCAGTAGTAGGGGTCACTTTGTTTCCCATTGTTCAACATCTAAAACCACTTGTTTCATATGTTTTGCAAGGTTTTCTAGTTGATTATGGTGGTGGGTAAGTCTGATCCCAGTTACTCCATTTTGGCCCGAGATCTTGAGAGAGCGGAGACTCACCTGCCGAGCAGCCTTTGCCGTGTCACTCACTCTGTGCTCTGCCCTGTGCCTCCTCCAGGCTGTGTGTTGTTCACGCCAGCCCCCTCTTATGTTTCTTAATATTTTTCTATGTAGTGCTTATGACTGCAATAATGAAGTAATTATGTAATTATGTATTTAATGTCTGTATCCCCACACAGCTGAAGCATCCTGAGCTCATGGACTGTGTAGTCTTATTAATATTAATTCCATTCCATAACTTGGCACAGGGCCTGGCACATGAAAGAATTCAGTCATATTTGTTTAGTGAGTAGATTGTCAGCTTTGCTTGGTCCTTAACCCCTTGTAAATGGGACTTTGTTTCTACTTCTTCAACTTGACAAGTGGCTTCCTCACTGCCCGGGCTGATGGTCTTTTCCCTGCTTTACAAACACTGCAGCTTTGGTACTTCTGCCATTGAGTCCTTCTGAAAACTCTCCCTTCCCAGGCCTCAGTGACATCTCCCAGTCTTGGTTGTCCTTTGCAGCTTCCTTTTTGCTCCCAAATGCATATTTCCAAGCTTCTGTTCTGAGCCCTTTTAAAAAATGGCATCTGAGTTTGTTGCCTATTCCCCAGAGATGGATTACATGCTGAGACGCGTAGCAGCCAACTTGGGGGGGCACTTATTCATTCATCCAGTCATTTGGTGAAGACTTCTGAGGCACCTGGGGTAACTGCCCCTCCTCTGGCCCTGCACCCTCTGTACCCTTATACATTAGTACTCAACAGGCTCTCAAAAAGTATTTGTTGAAATTCATTAGATCATAAAGCTTTATTTTTGAAGCAGATTTGGGCAATAAATCATTTTAAGTTACATAATTGGCTTAAAAATTATTCAGAAGGTAGAATTGGTAGGGCTTGGTGATTGATTAGATGTAGGGTGACAAAAAGGGAGGAATCAAGAATTTAGCTAACATTTGCTGACTGTTACTGGGTGCTCAGCATTGTTCTAGGCGCTGGGGTGCAGTGGTGAACAGGCCAGTCAGGGTTCCTGTTCTGGAGCTGGTCAGTGATGCCCAGGTTTCAGGACTGTGTGACTGGTGATGCTGTTCATTGAGAAGAAATGTTGGACAGAGAAGCAGGTGTGTGCAAGTGGGGTGGTTGGCTTAGTATGGGACAGTGTATTTCAGTTGGAGTTTGGCATGATATCAGAGAGGATGGGCAGTGACCCAGGAGGGTGGTCTCTGTGCCAGGAGACAGAAGTTTCTTCTCAGCCTCCTTTCACGTTGTGCTGCCATTGAGGACACGTGTACTTCATAGGAACTGGATAGGTTTTACCTTTGTTATTTGAAACACCACCAGGTGAAGCAGATCTTGTAACCTACCACTCTTTTACAGATGAGGTGACTTATGGTCAGGACTGAGGGTTCAGGGCTAGAAAGTGGGATCCAGGCCCAGCTCTCTATGACTCAAGGCTCAAGCTCCCTCTACTGCGTCCTTCTTTGAACCTCTTAATGCTGCTCTTTTCTCACTTCATCTGTGATACTTGTCTTCTGTGTAGGGAAGATGAGTGGGCTTTGTCAAATTGTAATTCATGAGCCATTAGGAGTGTTTACAGTTAATTCTCCATGATGAATACCCCTTCCAAAGTCAGTTTTATCTGGGCTCATTAAAAATTGTAATTGTAGAGGTAATATTACTTTACATTATATTATAGAGGTTTAAAAAATAGAGTTAACAGAAAGACCTTCCATAATCCTACTGTCCTTAAAAAACTATTATTTGGGGGATTGTTTGGTAGCAAGAAACTAACTTAATTAAGGGGGATTTAGTGTAAGGAACTGGGGTTTCTGAATCCTGGGTCTCAGCTGTATCATTGCGTATCAGTGGAATCAGCCTCTCTCTTGCTTTAGTTTTCTCCCCCTCTCTGCAGCCTAGAAATATCTGAAGTACCAGCATTCAGTTTTGCTTTTCAAATAATTTTTGCTAATTTAATAGTTAATAGTTTAATTGTTTGTATCTCTCTAATTGCTAATAAGAATAAAAATTTTTTCATGTATTTGATTGATTTGCTTTCTGTTTTGAATTGTCTATTTGTATTTTTGCCTGGTTTTCTTCTTGGGTGTTTGTAGTTTTCTTATCAGTTTTACAAGTCCCTTGCATTATTAAACATACAGAAAAATTGATAGAGTAGTATGGTGAACACCCATGTTCTCTTAACCAGGACTTAGGAGTCACTCGTTAGCATTTTGATGTATACGTGTTATGTCAATGTGGATTTTATTTTATTTTATTTTTTCTGAACCGTTGAAAAGTCAGTTGCAGACATGATGACACTTCTAAATACTTCAGCATATGTATGTGCTTTCAATTTTAGTGACCTATTAACCTTTTATCTTTTACATATTTGCTGTTAATATTTGTTCCAATCTGTTGCTTGCTTCTGACTCTTTCCTTTTGTTTCTCAGATGGTGACATGCCATGCCGTGCCAACATCCTGATCACGGAGCTGTTTGACACGGAACTGATTGGGGAGGGAGCACTGCCCTCCTATGAACACGCACACAGGCATCTCGTGCAGGTAGGGGACTGAGGGCCTCCTTCGGGCAAATTGCTGTGATCTCAGTTGACTCACACAGCTCTCATTGACACACTACGCTCTACATAGCCTGAGCCCTCAGTGCCTCTCTGTACACCTTAGGGCAACCTTTGATTCCTGCGAGATTCTGACTGTCCTCAATTATGACTCTGTGCCTCTTGAATGCCACGTCTTAGTAGGTTAGAGTCAAAAGACTAGAAACTATCTTCAAATTGAATTCAGCAAACATTCTTTTAATGTCACCTGTGTGTAAGGTGTTCTAGCATCCAGGGAGAAGTATAAGCCATTCTTCTTGCTTCTATATCCACACTAGTCAGCAGTGGTAAGGACTTGATGGGCCAGATGGAGAGGTAGGCAGAAGCACCACTGACATTTGGTTTAGGGCTGGTGGAAAAGGTCAAGGCTCAGGAAGGAGATGAGGGCATATGTGGAGAGGGTGGAATTTGGAAAGGCACTGAGGAAAAGGAGAGATGTCCCAGGTGGAGGACCTGTTTGGTAGGTCAGTGGGAACACCAGCCTAAGGTGCTTGTAAGCTAATGTGGAGAATGGGGTGGAGGATAGAAGACCTTGAATGCCAGGCTGTTCCAGATGAAGGAGTTTGGGTGGTGATAATCTTTGGCAGGTTTTTGTTTTTTTAATAAATTTGTTTGTTTGTTTTTATTTTTGGCTGTGTTGGGTCTTCGTTGCAGTGCACACGCTTTTCTCTAGTTGCGGTGAGTGGGGGCTACTTTTCATTGTGGTGCTCAGGCTTCTCATTGCGGTGGCTTCTCTTGTTGTGGAGCATGGGCTCTAGGCACGTAGGCTTCAGTAGTTGTGGCACACAGGCTCAGTAGTTGGGGCTTGCGGGCTCTTGAGCACAGGCTCAGTAGCTTTGGCCACAGGCTTAGCTGCTCCGCAGCATTTGGGATCTTCCCAGGCCAGGGCTTGAACCCGTGTCCCCTGCATTGGCAGGCAGATGCTTAACCACTGCACCACCAGGGAAGCCCCGACAGTTGTTTTGAGAAGGGAGAGATATGCTGAAAATTTTAGCTCAGAGATGTTGGTCTTGCTTTTTTATGAACATAAACTGGGAGGTGGAGACTCAGAGGCAAAGGCCGGCTGGGGAGGTGTGAGTGTTTGCTGCTTCTGCTGGCACCTGCCATGTGGGCACTGTTCACATGAGCCCGTAACTGTCTTGGCCCGGTATTCTTTTGAGGGGTACTTAGTACCCCTGGAGTGAGGAAGGGGGCTCCTTCCAAGGCATTTGGGGCCCGCGTCCACATTACTCATGAGGTCAGCATGTGATGGTGATCGTCCTCCAGCTCCCCATCCTGCGTGAGATGTCTTGTCTCCAAAATGCAAAATTCTTCCTAGTAACTTTGGTAGAAATTATTTCTATTTCTCCACATTAAAACCATCAATTAGATGAATCCCTGAAGTAGAGAACAAGGATATTCAGAATTATGTTAATGTTGTTCAATTTGTCTTTCTCTAATTCATCTAGTAATTAAAAGGTGCACAGGCAGCCGTCCTCAGCTTCCTCTCCCAGCTGGCCCGTAGCAGCCAGGTGTGCACTGTCCACTGTAATCACTGTCCCCATCTGCCGAGCTTGAGTTTCAGCTTGAAGGAGCTATGGCGGCACACAGTCTCCATTACCCTGTCCCTTTTCCTGCCACATTGGAGGTCATGGAACTGGGGTGCTGGAGTGTCTGACAGATAGTCCATGTGGTATTGCAGTGACCCAGGAATTGATCTCAGAAGACACATTTATTGGTGCCTTCATTTTGCAGAGCCTTTTCTGAGTACCAAGAATATGAGGGTGAGCTCCTGGGGAGGCAGGTAGGTGGGCAGGTGGTCACAGTACAGTTTGAGGTCCACGCTGATGGTGGTCGGTGGGGTGAGGTCCTGCCCCTCTGGTGGGAGAAGGCGGGGAGGTTGGGGAAGATGAAGCATGAGCTGAGTCAGTCTTGAGAGTGAGCAGGGTTTGGCCTGGCAGCTGGGGGGAGTCGCGGCAGAGGAGGTCAGCCTGCACAAAGATGTGAAGATGAGTCAGATTATGGGTGTGTGGGAGGCAGGGTAAGAGAGAAGGCTGAAGGGCTGGGCAGGGCCTGACCAAGAAGGGCCCCTGTGCTCCAGAAGGCAATGTGGTAGCTCAGAAGGATTTTAAGCAGAGGATCAGTGTCAGATTTATGCAGGCAGGCATGTGGAGAGCAGCTGGGGTGCAACACTAGGGGCAGGAAGACTAGTTAGAAGGTGGCTGGAGTTGTTCAGGTGCTGGGCTGAGGTAGGCCTTAGTCAAGGCCATAGCAGTGGAGCCCAGAGAGGTAGACTCGGGGAGGAGGAAGGTGGTCAAGGACTTCTGTTACTTAGATGTGGAGGCATTGAGGATGATGCCAGGGTTTGAGGTGTAGGTGACTGGCTTGGATGGTGGTGCTCCCTGTTGACTGGGAGGAGGACCAGGCCTGGGAAGGTGGGGGAGAGGTGAAGGACTTGTTTGGTTTAGACAGACTTTGAGCTGAGGGTCAGCCAAGTAGAGAGGACCAGGAGGCATTTGGGTACATGTATTTGGTAAATGAAGATGGAGTGGTTGAGGTCAAATGGGAGAGTACATGGTGGGAGAAAAAGATGGTCCAGACCAGGTCTCTGGGGAATTCTCTCTGTAAGGGATGGGCAGGGGAAGCACAGCTTTGTGAAGGAGACAGAGAGGGAGAGCAGTGCTTCTCCTCCAGAGCTGTGTCTGGAGACAGTTTTGATGTCACAACTGAGAGGTGGTCCTACTGTCATGTGTGGGTAGAGGCCAGGGATGTTACCAAACATCCTACAATGCACAGAGCAGCCCCCACAGTAAAGGATCACCTGATCCAAAAGGTCACTAGTGATGAGGTAGACAAACCCTGTGCTTGTGCTTTCTGTGCAGTAGCAGCTGTGAGTGTTCTCTTCATGGCTGGGCCCCTAGTGCCTGGCAGGTAGAGGGTGTTGGATGAATGAGGCAGGAGGGAAATCGGATGAGGGACTGCAGCCAAAGCCAAGTGAGGAGTGTGGTCAGCAGTGCCAGGTGAGGCCAGGAGGTCAGGTCAGTTGAGGATGGCCACTTGTCCAATTAAGATAGAATTCACATACCACAGAGTTCTTCACCCTTTAAAGTTTCCAATTCAGTGGCTCTTAGTACATTCACAAAGTGTGTGGCAATCACCACTTTGTAATTCCTGTTTGTCTGATTTTCTTTTTTATTATTTAAAAAAATGGAAAACCAAAAGTGTAATTTTCATTCAATAAATATCATTTGATCCTTAGGCAGTTTTGTTGCAGAAAGTAAAGTCCATTATTTTAGAATGATGGTAGCAATTCATCAACCAAGTAATCAGTTTTCACACAGTTTCAATAATTGCAGCAATTTCCTTGAACTGTCTAGAAATTCTGAAACTGTGGAATTGTCATTTCGAAGGACTTGTTCTTTACTTGGCCTGAATGATCTGCCACTTTGAGCATCACTGCAACATAAGGATACTTAAGTGATCTGCAGCTGTCTGAGCGCACAGCCATACCCAGCTTCCACTGAAAATCTATGAGCTAGTTGGTGACCTTGGCCTTAGCATCCAGCTGTGGCTCACTACACCCCTCCATAGCAGCGCCCTGGAATCCCACCACCCACTCAGGTGGAAGCTCCTGGGGCAAGGTTTATTTTTGAAATATTCAAGAGTGTCAGGTAGCTAGGAACTTACCTGACATAAGTCGTCTTAGGCATAATGTGTATTCTTTCTGAAGTCTGGTTTCTTCTGTTCCCAAGGGCATTGGCTGAAAACAGTTCACTGTCCTAATAGTGATAAGGCATTAGATGTTACTAATCTATAATACTATACTAATAATACTATACTAATACTATACTAATATTTATATATTTATATATGTATTATATATATAAATGTAATATGTAATATTATATATATAATATATATATTATTGTATATAATATACTAATATAAATATTAGTATATTTATACTATACTAATGTTTATAATATAAATATTAGTATATTTATACTATACTAATATTTATACTATACTAATACTATACTAATATTTATAATTACTGTACTAATATTTATTCCCTAATATTAGGGAATAAATCTCTTTTGCTCAATGGGAATTACTGCGGGTCAACGTAACTGGTTATTTTTTTGTTCTTTTGTTTTACTTTTTTAATATAAACTTAGAAAAATTGTGAGGCAGTGCCTCACAGAGCAACCATCTACGCACAGCTGGTGGAGTCCAGGAGGATGTGGTCATGGAACAAGCTGTTTCCCATCCGTGTTCAGACCAGCCTTGGAGAGCAAGTCATTGTCCCCCCCTTGGAACTGGAGAGGTGTCCTGGCGCGCCCTCTGTCTATGACATTCAGCTGAACCAGGTGTCTCCCACTGACTTCACTGTCCTCAGCAACGTGCTGCCTATGTTCAGGTACCAAGGAGCCACCCAGGGTCATGGCGTTTGGAGACACTTGGTGAATTGCGGTCTTTGGCAGTTCTTTTTGAGTTCATTTTGACATCAGGAGTCCATTGCAAACAAGTCTCATTGCTGGTGAGGTCACCATAAATGCTTAAAGATGGAGTGTGTGAGCTTAAAATATGCTTCAGTTCCTGAATATTCTTCCACAGTGTGGACTTCAGCAAGCAAGTCAGTAGCTCAACAGCCTCCCATAGCAGGCAGTTTGAACCTCTGGCATCTGGCCAAGCTCAGGTGGTTCTCTCCTGGTGGGATATTGAAATGGACCCTGAGGGGAAGATCAAGTGCACCACGGCCCCCTTCTGGGCACACTCGGATCCAGAGGAACTCCAGGTAAGGGGCAGGAGCTGAGCACGTTTTCGTGGAAATCAGGAAACTTGTCCACTTTTGGTCCTGGGAAAGGAGCATGTTGAATCTTAGATTCCTAAGAATTTAGAGATAGAAGGGACTATGTTAGAATCAATGTCAAAGAAGAGTTTAAAAGAAAAAAAGGCAAGGCTAGCTGTAGTAAGATATAAGATAGACCTTTCAGGCCAAGTTCATGGTCAACACCAGTGGTCACAGTGAGCCATAGTGCAGCTTTGGTGTGCTGGCTCTCCCCTCGTCCTGGTACAGCCACTCTTAGACCTGCCCACCGAGTAATCCAGGGGTCCTCAGATTAGCTTGTGATAGAGAACTACAGCCTGTCTACAGCCGCATTTTCTGTGACCTCAAAATCTACCTTCTTCAGCTCAATGGAAAGTGGGGAGGATGTGAACTACAGAAAAGGAAATACATATTATATTCCTTTTTCTTTAAAAATATTTTTCTTAATTTTATTTATTTATTTATTTATTTTTCAGCTGCATTGGGTCTTCGTTGCTGTGCACAGGCTTTCTCTAGTTGAGGCGAGCAGGGGCTACTGTTTATTGCAGTGCACTGGCTTCTCACTGCAGTGGCTTCTCTTGTTGCAGAGCACGGGCTCTAGGTGCGCGGGCTTCAGTAGTTGTGGCTCTCAGGCTCTAGGGCGCGGGCTCAGTAGCTGTGGCGCATGGGCTTGGTTGCTCCATGGCACTTGGGATCTTCCCGGACCAGGACTCGAACCCGTGTCCCCTGCATTGGCAGGTGGATTCTTAACCACTGTGCCATCAGGGAAGTCCAAGAACCATGCAGATTTAAACAGTGAAATACTGTTTTTCGTGTATTAGTGAATAAAGTTCAGAGTTTGCATGCTGTTGGTGGAGCCGTGGGGCAGTGCAGGAGGGTGATCACCAGAGGGTTGTGGAGTGCAGCAAGGCCCACAGTCGGTCAGGATGGGACATGACGCCCCTTCTAGGCATTTAGGCTCTGGATGGAGCTGCATACGTGTAGAATGACGTGTGTGCCAGGATACTCACTGTAGCCCTGATTAAATAGAAAAGACTGGAACAACCTAGAGGCCACCAGCAGGGACTGGCCAAGTCCATTTTCCTGCATCCACGCAGAGGGTGAGGTGGCTGTCTCTGCACTGATGTGGAACAGTCTCAAGGACAGATCAAGTGAAACAACGAGAGGCACAGAACAGTGTGTGCTGTGCCAGCGTTGGCGTTATTAAAAATAAGAATATATGTGTTTATCAGCCTTTATGTGTGGTGCATGTATGCAAGGGTATCTTGGGAAGAATTCACAGAAATTGGTAAAAATGGTTGCTTCTGGGAAGGGAGCTGGAGGTTAGGGGTGGAAAGGAAACTTATTTTTCATTCCATGACCCTTTTATATCTTTTGAGTTTTCTCTCATGTGCATGTATTATCTACCCCTCTGTACACAAACACAAGGGAAGAAAGTGGGAAAGATGCTTCAGGACCAAGGAATCAAATGTTCCCTCCACCTGGGAGGCCTTGGGCACTGTCCTCTGTGTGTTCTGACTTCCTGTTCCCACTTGCTGGGCACTGGCTTGGCTTTGATTGCTCAGCTGCTGGTTCTGGGTGTATACATGGTGACTTCAGGGAAGGCCTTAGCATCTCATCCTGCTCCCTGAGTTACTGCTTAGGCCAAAGGGTCATGACTGCTGTGCGATTTCGGTCAGTCCTCCTGGGCCCTTGAGCTGCCCCGGCTCCACTCTGCATAGCCTCAGTCCTCCGTAGGCTGAGAGCGTGTGTGGGGTGTGGGGTGTGGGGTGTGTGTGTGGTGTGTGATCTGTGTGGGGAGGGGGGCGTGTGTGGTGTGTGTGTGGTGGGGGTGTGGTGTGGGGGGGAGGTCAGAATTCTCCAACAGAATTGAGGTTGGCACTGGGCTGCTTTCTTCCCCTCTAGGAGTGTGGTAATTGCAAAATTAGCATAAGAATTTCATTAAAATGTAAATACTTCTCATTTGTATATCTTCAAAGTGCTTCTATGTGTATTTTCTCCTTGAATCCTCATATAAGACATGCTGGGTAACCACACAAAGCCGGGCCGATGAGGGGAGCAGGGCCTCAGGTGTAGGCAGCCTTGGTGGGTGCTTGTCCCCAGGTGTCCTGACTGTGGGGCTTGTGTCCTTCCTCTACCAGTGGTGACTTTTGGACTGTTTCGAATTTGAAGAGCTGCTAATGAATCTCCCTCATGACTTCATTAAACTGCTTTTGATCAGCCTCAGACAGTGGATTCTGGCTATCATAGCTCTTTAGCATTAGGACCTGAGAGGCTGGTGTGTGGGAGGGACATGGTGACAGGGAAGCACTGTGGGAGACCGGGAGGGGCCAGGGAGGCATAGTAAAGAATGAATAACAGGTTTTAGAGGATCTTTTTTTCCTCCTTGTTAGTGTTTATTTTTTCCAGAATGTATCTGGTTAGATTTTAATTTTCTAGCTTTTACATTCAAGTAGACATCTTAGATAGATGGGAATGTTATTCACCTGTCTTTAAGTTCAAGATCAGGTAGGATAGAATGTGTTGACTGAAAAAAAAAAACAACACAGTGTGAGAGTTGTGACTTAACTTTATTTGAAGTCAGATGAGGACTGTAGCCTGGGAGACAGCCTCTCAGCTCTGAGGAGCTACTCCGAAGAGGTGTGGGTGGGTGCAAGAGGTCAGTATAGGTATGATTTTAGTGGAGGGGAGATACTTGCAATCAAGTACACATTTTGGCAGAAGGTTCCTTCTAGTCACGATCACACACACACACACACACACACACACACACACACACACACACACACAC